GAGGGCAGGGCTGGCACCGAGCAGCCCCTCTGGGCACCGAGGTTACCCGGGGAACCCGGCACCGCAGCCGTTACCCGCCCGTCCGGCGCCCCGACCCCGCTGCGGCCACCGGGAACGCGCTGCCCCTGGCCGGGGAACGGCGGGCAGCCCTCCCGCCCCGCCGGTAGCCGAAGGGTGCTCTGCCTGCTCCCCACGTCGGGCAGCGACCGCCTCGGACGGGCCGGGCGCCGGGGGGCTGCGGTAGCCGCGGTAGGGCCCGGGCCGTGCGGGACAGCGGGCGGGCGAGCGGCGGGTTCCCGCGTGGATCAAAACACACGCGGTGTGTACAGACACACACACGGTGTGTACAGACACACACACGCGAGAGATGGCCCCAACCTAAAGAGCAAGCTGTGCAGAGGGGGCTCAAGATAAAAATGTATTTTTTTAGTATTCATCAGAATGCAACAAATCCAACAAGTTGTAGGTGGGAGAGGCACCTGTCAGAGGCCTGTGTTTAACCTGTCTGCTGCTGGAAGATCCACTTCAAACCCCGGCGTGTGGGTCTCGGGAGGGAATGGAGCTCCAGCAGGGACGGGCAGCCCTCTCCCACCCCCCTGCCCCGCTCCTCCCCTCTCCTGCTGCCGTACCTACAGCTAAAAGGGAACCTCGCATGGGATTTATTTTTTTTTCCCAAACCCGTTTATTTTAGAGGAGACCAGTCTCCTGCTTAGCGGACACGTGTTGTTGCACGCTGCAGGTCCTGCAGCTGTACCTCCATCACCAGCCAGGCACAAGACGGGCAGACCCAGAGCTCAGATCTCAGAGCACAGCGCAGAAGAACGGGCCCTGCTCTCGGGTAGCCCCCCGGGAATGCTTAGGGAATAAAACGGGGGAAAAAGAGAAAGAAAACTGCAGACCTAAAATAGTACCGTTTACTTGACTTTTACCAAGTTGCTTAAGCCATGCAGCCCTGCCCATCAGAGCAGTGGAACCCTGCTTATCTCTTAGCTGGGCCTGTGTGGCTGTGACAGCAACCAACACCTTATCTTAGCTCCAGGAAAAGCTGTCCCTGTCCTAAGGCACCAGTTCACTGTCCGTCACCTGGACTGGATTGTATGGACGCTCTGTGGGGTCCATGCACAGATTCCACAGGGCAAAGAAAGCCCACCTTTCTGCAGCACTCCCAGTGCCCCAGACACTTCCAACACGTATTTTAGCCTCCTGGTGTGGGGAGAAATCACCCCAACGCCTGCCAGAGCAGCAGAATCAGCAGCACTTGGAGCAGAAGCACCTGAGAACATCTTAAATTCACGTCGCTCATTCATTTCAGGATTGGGCAAATTTGTTTTATCACTGGCTGCACTATTTTGGAGATAAAATGCAACTTTGCTATTTTAATCAGTTCCGAATTGTGAATTTTTACCCTAGAAAAATATTTCTCACCGAAACTCCCGTGCATGATAAGACAAGGATGGCAGAAGAGACTCGGGGCACAATGTTTGCATGGGTTTTCATCTTCACAATACACACTGCAGCGGATATTGACAGAGCTGCACACATCACAGAGAAAAACAATTGCCAGGGTCCAGCGCGTTGATGGCCCACACTCAGATCAGCTCGTACTGATATGAGAAAAAAAAAATATTGTATAGCTCATGTGTGGTTCACGTAAAGTTTTTTTTAACATCTGGAGCTGTTAGCTTATGGCTCGTTTAGTCAAGACAAACAACCTGCTATAAAGAATTACACCGATGAGCTTGAATACCCTAACAGTCCAGTTTTTAAAAGGCATAAAAATAAAGGTGACACCCATCTTTTTCCATTAGCAGTCATCCTGGTTTTCCCAATGACTCTTACAATTATTCACCATGAAGCAGTCACAAAGTAGGTTCCATAGAGGCAGACTTTTATGCATAATTGAGGCTCTGCCTGATCCTACCCTGCACTGGGGGTTGACTTCTGTAACAATACATGGCTATTTTTAGCCTGCCTTCTTCGGTTTATGTAATGATGAATTTTCTGAGTGTCCCCAACTAACCCTGTAACTTTGAATTGATTGTCTAGATATAACTCGATTTGACAGGGGTATTGAATATTTCTACAAGTTTCACAGAAAGGAAAGAGGAAGAAACCAGAGCTTGAAACTTCTCTAAGAAGTTCTCCCCTAATAACTGATTCTGTGCACCCATTTCTGCTGTCTAGCAGAGCAAACCAGAAGTTGCTTCCCAAATGCTCTGCAAAGACTGTAAAAAAAAAAAAAAAAGGAATTTGCTGAGATACATGAGGAGATGATGAAAAATTCCTATTTCTTTCAACTAAGGTATTTTGTTGAGCTCAGTGGACACTGGATGAAGCACCCCACCATCATAACTCACCCTGAGCCCCAGAATCACATGCATTTTAACACAGGCTAAGAGAAAAAAAAGCTGACACAGGTTTTCCTGGATCAAATATAGCATCAGGGGAAGAACAGAAGGTCAACAAAAACATTAGAAGAACTTTTTAAAATATTTATAAAAATACTGCTGGTGAGTTACTTCCCCATTTTTGTTCAGGATCTTTAAAATCTTGTCTGTCACCAGTAACTGAGCAGCCTGCACAGCATGAAGACATGACACTGCAAATTCTCACAGGCTGCCCCTGCCTCCACTCCCATCAGACTACCAGAAGATACAGCAAGTCACCGCACAGCCGGGAAGATGATCTTGGAACCGGGAGTATCAGAACTGCTGTCACATTTGGACAACACCTCTTGAGGTCTCCTTCAGATTATTTCCATAAAAACACTATTATGGTGAAGATAGATACAAGAAACATAAACTAAAACAGTATTTTTCCCACAGAAAATCACTATAATCTGACAGTTAAGTAACCATTCTGACCACACATGGAAATTAAACATAAAATAGCAAAAGACTGTGCATCATCTTTTCCCTCCCTCTCCTCTCCACCTCCCTGATGTACATTTTAAATCAGGGTAACTTAAAGAAGAAAAGCTGATGTCAAGACTTTCCAGATCAAACACTCGGTTGAGGAAAGAGAGGAGTCACAAATGCACACACAGTTATACAGATCGTTTGCAGCTTTTGTGCAAATCAAGCATTTTCACTACTGCTGACGCATGTACCCCAGGTACTAAAGACAATTTGTACTCACCGTTATATAGCGGAAACATACTCAAATAATATACTTTCCATAAATTAGCACATTACTTTGATGTTATTCTTACTCATTTTTACATAGTAAGCCTGCTGTCACACATCAATTAACATGGCAAATTAAAGTAATCATAGTATGTAATGTATTCATACGGAACAGACAAGTTAATTGTATGCTGCTTTACAGCTTGCATTTAAAGTAATTGCTCTGATTTTTCAGGTTCCAAAATTCAGCTCTGCATAGCAGACTCCAGCAGCTGGGGTACGGTACCTCTGACACGGAACGCTACTCACTCGGTTTTACTGACACGCCGCTGTGCCCTTGTGCTAAGTGAAAAGAAACATCGGCCTCCGACATTCCTTCCCTGGCGCTTTGGGGAGGATCATCCTTCTCCAGCTGGCATCACCGGGATGCAGGGATGCAGGGATGCAGGTGCCGGCACTGGCTGCCTCTGCACTGGCAGGAGGCTGAATCGCTGGCAGCGTCACCGATGCGTTTCTCTGTAGGATACAGGAAGCCAGAGAAGAGGCGTAATCTTTTGTCAGTGCACATGACTGGTACAGAGCAGAAAGCCACTTCTAAAAATAACTAGCCAGCATATGACTCTCAGTGCTACTTTCCTGGCGGTCTAGTGGTCAGCCCCCTGCCCCTCCTAACCTGGGCTCACACCCAGGGAAACATTTCTTATTTCAGTAAAATTTCTCTAGTACATACAGTAGAGTTTTCACTACTCTTATGGCTGTAATTAACAACCCCTTCACTGCTCAACAGTTGCTTAGTATATTACACACATTGAAAATAACTTGCTAATTGTCAAGCAAAACAGAGGTTTGTTTCTACATCTAGCAGTTTCCTAAGGCAAGGACAAAACACGTTTGGCCGCTCCACCACCAGCCTTAGATCCCATCTTTCCTAGGCTCGGCTACTTCTCTGAAACTGCTGGGGGAAGATTTTGTCTCTGTCACTCAAGCAGCTTGAAAAGCAGGGGCTCGCTCCTGCCTCCCTCGAGGTGTCGCACAACAGAGGCCCTGAGAACAACCAGTGGCAACAACCTTCCTGTAAGACCATTGCCAGCGCTGCACAGGCACCTGATGTGTTTAACCCTGCTGTCTCAGAGCTGCTGGCACCACGGGCAGCACCAGGGTGGGGAAGCCTATGCCTGTAACCAGGGCAGTGCAGACCCAGGGAAACTTACTAATTCCTTTACAGCTCGCTCAGTTTCTGCCATATGGAACCTCCCTCATATTTGGCCGGAGTTCCTTGCAGGTTCTGAGTTGCAGGAAAGCTCGCTCAGTTTCTGCCCTATAGAACCTCCCTCATATTTGGCCGGAGTTCCTTGCAGGTTCTGAGATGCAGGAAACCAGGCCCCGCTTTCCCTTCCTCTCCAGCAAGGGGCACAGACTATCTCTGGGACCAAGCCCCCTCTCTCTCTCACCTACCACGTCCCCCTCTTTGCGGTGGCCCCATCCTGAGCTGTGCTCTGCCTCCAGTGCTCCACGGCTTTGGCTCCTCCAGCCCTGAAACACCTCGGTCTTACACCAAAGGAGCTGCTGCTGGGTGTGAAACTCAGTTCTTGAAGTATATAGCACATCAGGCTGTATCTAATTGGGCCTGATTGTAACCTCACGCTTTATAAGTTATCTCATTGCACAGTAAAATTGCTGTTTGGACCAAAGAAAGCTCCATGGCAACCAAGACACACCCTTTGTCCAAGCCTGCTGCTGTGAGGGTTTGGGACGGAACGAACCATTGCCTGAACAGGGACTCCATCGGGACAGAAACCCAAACCTCCTGAGGACAGCGGTCACCCTAAATTTATTTCCAGACTCTAAAGCTTTTAAAGCTAAGCTAAGCTAATGTGTATTTGCAGAGTCCACAAGATCATAGTCTGAAGCTTATCTACCTTAACAAGGTAAGGCTTCTTGTACAACTCATTTCAGAGGCAGAGGGTTTGAGGAACTAGGGAAATTTGCTTGTGTAGAGCAAACCCTCTTATATCGTGGACACTTCTTCAATAGGGAACGTGCCTTCTGCCGGTACAGCTCCCACAGCTCCTGGCTCATGAAATTGACACTCCAGAGGAGACAGTGCTTATGCAGATGTGATCCCCGGCCATGGCAGCTCCCACTCCCCCCCTGAGACCTCCCCAGAAGAGGCAGGGTCACAGACCCACACCTGTCCCGTGCCCAGGCCAGGGCAGCACAAGGCAAGTGAAGCCCCAAGCCGCCTTCCCTCCGTGGAGCCGAGGGCTTCCATTCCACCCGCGGCAGCCGTTAGCTCGCCTCTCCCCGCGCCCGCACACCCACAGCCGCGGGGCTTGTGGCGTTTCTCTCTCCGCAGCCCGCCCGCAGCGCGGTGAGGCCGGGGCGGCGCTGGGCAGGCCCTGCCCGGAGCCCTCACAGCAACACCCGCACAGAGACCGCGCCACCGGCCACCCGCGCCGAGGGAAAACAACCCCGCTCCCGGCGGGGACCGACGTCCGCCCAGCGGCCGGGGGCGGCGGGGGAGGCCCCGGCGGCAGGGAGGGGGCCCGGCCTGTCCCGCCCCGCGCTCCGAACAGGCCGCCCTCTGCCCCGGCCGCACAGCGCTCGTCTGTCGCCGGGTGCGGGCCGCGGCTGCTCCCGCTCCCGCAGCGCCGCGCCGAGGGCTCCCTCCCGCCCGGCCTCCCACCGCCATCCCGCCACCCGCCCCGCAGGGGCCCCCTCTCTCCACTCTCCGCCCCTCCCGCGGGACCCCCCCGTCCG